ACCTTGAGCCTGGTGAGATTTGAACTGCCAAATTGCAGGCAGCCGGCAGTCAGCAGAAGTAGCCTGCAGTACTGCACTCCCACCACTGCGCCACCACGTTTCAAATGCTTGAATAGACTCTGTAAGTCCAATTTTGGATAGCAATAGCCCCTTAGACTTCTGTACCACTTCACGGTGCTTTATAGCTCCCTCAAAGCGGTTTAGAGTCGGCCTCTTGCCCCTCAACAGTCTGGGTCCTCATTTTACCCACCTCAGAAGGATGGATGGATGGGTCAACCTTCAGCCTGGTGGGATTTGAACTGCCAAATTGTAGGCAGCCGGCAGAAGTAGCCTGCAGTACTGCACTCTGACCACTCTGTCACCATGGCACTTAGTCAAGGCCATTGGTCAAGGATTCCTTGACCCAAAGAGGCGTTTTGGCCATCGGGCTCCATCAACCATATCTCAGCCATCGGCTTTCAAGGTTTACCACAGTTGACCAATGCTTAAAACATCGCCGTTTGTGAAGGTTTATAGCAATCCCATGGCAACTGGATCCTGCTTCTGAATGGCTCAAAACTTTGATTTCCACTTTCGGTGGAAACGCCATTGGGGAAGGGTAACAGGGGAAGATGCAGGTAGTCCTCAACTTATAACTGTTTCATTTAGGGACCATTTGGAAGTTACCACAGCGCTGAAAAAAAGCGACTCAGGACCCTTCTTCACACTTACGATCGTTGCAACGTTCCCCACAGTCACGCGATCAAAATTCAGGCCCTTGGCAACCGATCCATATTTATTACGGTTGCCCTGTCATGCGACTGCAATGGGGGGAGCCAGATTCACTTAACGACCAAGTCAACAGCTGCGGTGACTCGCTTAACAGCTGTGGCCAAAAAAAGGGCGTAAAAACGGGGCACAATTTACGTTGACCGTCTCGCTGAGCAATGGAAATGTTGGCCTCGGTGTTGCGGTCAAAACCTGAGGATGACCCGTCACAACACCGTCAGGAAATACGATCCAGGCTAACCCAGAATCAGAATGAAGGGAGGGTTTTTTGGCGCTCTGTGAACTTGGTGGTTGGAATGAAGTTCCATCCCATAATAGGCTTGGGATTCGTGTTACGGAAAGCATTTAAAACCTCTGCCGTTCTCCTCTATCTTTTTTCCCCGCAGGGAAGATTGGCAGAGCTGGAGTGGAAACCATTCCCCAATTTCATTCTGGTTTTCTACTGGGAGGGAAAACAAAGAAAAAGAAATCAGCATTCTTGCCAATTTTGCCCTGTTGATGCAGCCAGGCTGGAGAATCCCGGCCAACTTTGTCTCCAAGCGTCGGACTGGAAGCTCTCCAAGGTCCAAAGGTGGATTTGAAGCTTCTCCGGCTTAAAAACAGGACGAACAGCAGAGCAAATGTCGGGGGGGAGAAAAGATGGACGCACCAAAGCCACCAATCCTTGGTGCAGCCTGCAATGGAGGCAGAAAGTGGCCTTTCCACCCCTGGAGCCCCTATTGCTTCTGCCTCCTTCTTTCCTCCCCACAGCCCCGCCCCTCTCTGATTCCTTTATTCGTTTTATAAATATGTATTTTATATATATACAAATAAAGGAGTCTAATATTGTGTCTGTGCGTGTGTGTTTTCTTAAGTTTTCGTGGGTACTTACATGTATGGTATTCGGGTTTGTTCGGGTATTTTCCCACGTCATTGTAGTTGTGCTTTTGAAGTTGTAGCAACGTTTTGGCAGAATCTAATCTGCCATCATCAGGCTTCTGTATTGAGTTCGTCTGTGAGTCAGACTTTTACACAGACGAACACAATACAGAAGCCTGATGATGGCAGATGAGATTCCGCCGAAACGTTGCTACAACTTTAAAAGCACAACTACAATGACGTGGGAAAATACCCGAACAAACCTGAATACCATACTTATATATATATGTATGTGGATCTTTGGTTGTTCGGGTTTTCTCCCCCGTAAAATTGGAAGTATTTTGGCAATGTTTCGACGAAATCTCATTCGTCATTTTCAGGCTTGTGTCTTCAGCTTTGTGCTTCTTGGAGTAATGTGAGCTTGCAGCTGTTTTTTCTTTTAACTGCCAGTGGGGGTGCAGCTTGACTGGGTGGGGGCTTGGCTGTGTTCTGATTGGGTGGGGGTGTGTTCTCATTGGTTCTCATAACTCCCACTGGCAGTTAAAAAAACAGCTGCAAGCTCACATTACTCCAAGAAGCACAAAGCTGAAGACACAAGCCTGAAGATGACGAATGAGATTTCGTCGAAACATCGCCAAAATACCTCCAATTTTACGCGGGAGAAAACCCGAATAACCAAAGATCCACATACATATATGTGTGTGTGTGTGTGTGTGTGTGTGTGTGTGTGTATGTGTATATATATATATACACACACACACACTGTTATACATATAACAGTTTAACAACCCCATAATCCATTGCCCGGTGCAGTCTGGGGCAACTGAAAGGAGCTTGAGTGTTTGACTGGCCAGATGCCTTTCTTGTCTCCAGTGTGGAGTTTTTGTTCAGCAAATAGATTCTCAGGGTGTCCAAGAGAGAGAAATATCTGCCTCTACCTAAGATCGAACTCACAACCTCCTGATTGTGAGGCGAGAGCTCCACCTCTAGGCCATGGCACCACGTCGTTGATACCTACACCTAACTCCTTTATACCACACACACACAAACACACACACACGTAAATAAAACGAATAAAGGACTCATTCCAAGCGCCGAGGGAGGCCTCCCCCAGCGAGCGCCCTGACAACCGACCTCCCCCCCCCCCCAAGAAAGCGGGGCAGCCCTTCGGATCCTTTCACACGTGCAGGCGGACACGCGTCTGTCGGGGCCGTGCGAATGGGGGCCGTCCGGGGCTGCGAGCGAGGGGAGGGGAGAAAGGGAGCCCCCGCGGGCTGACGACGAGGAGGAGGAGGAGGAGGCCCGGCTCGGTTGCCCTGGAGAAGCGGCTGGAAAGGCGACCGCCATCTTGACGGCCGGGCCCACCGCCGCCGCCGCAGCCCGACTTACACTCGCCGCCGCGCAGCGCCGTTCCGCCTGCGTGCGTCCCGCCGCTGTGACGTCATCTCGCCCCGCCGGTAGCCCGGTGCCGCGACGAGAAGGAAAAAAAGACCTCTCGGAAGAGGTGGTAGCCCGGCTTGGGTTTTAAAAAAAATAAAAATAAACAAGCGGGAGCCACCGAGCATGCGCGATTGCCTTCCGCGCGTGCTCGGCGACGCTTAACGAAGCCGGCGGCCCTCCTGAGGGCTTGCCCTCCCTGGCGACGAGCCGCAGCTGCGCATGCGCCGCCTCATCCCGGGATGCTCAGTCGCAGAGCCTGAAGCCGCCGCTGCCCTTAGTTTTGCCCGCTCGGGGGAGGGACAAGACGGGCGGGATCAGTGGGATGTCGGTCTTTCTTTCCCAAGAGCTTTGGCCTTCATTTCCCATCAGCCCCAATCACCATAGTCGATAGCTGGGGATTATGGGGGCTGTAGTCCAAAATTTCCACGGGCCCCAATTTCTCCCCCCCGCCCCCTTAAGTCATTCCTGCTTGATGAGTTTGGAAGGAAATTAAAATTCCTCCCACAGGATGCTGCACTGGGCTGGAGACAGAAAGTTTTTTAACAACTTTTAAGATGGGTGGACTTCAATTCCCAGAATTCCCCAGCCAGCACACACAGCGACTGAGGAATTCTGGGAGTCGGTTTGCACAGTGGTCAAGGCTGAAGAAAAAACGAAACACAAAAAAACCCACACTGATTTAGTCTGAAATCAAATGCAGTATAATTGGGCTGGACCTGCATCCGGAAATCTGCCCATTGCCAAAAGCAGGAGCAGACCCCCCCACTCCCTCAGTGGTGCAGGGGGTCTCCCAAGAGGGACCCCAAGAAAGCCCACCCACCCGCCGGAATGCAGGGCACTTGGTGGGAGGGTTTTTCCCCCGTTTGGGGGTGCAATCTCCCCCCATTTTTTTTTTTGCAATGAGCAGGTTCCACCCGGACTTTTTCCTCCAGGGACCCCCACCCCAAGAAAACCCACCCCACCCACCTGGCGGGATGCAGCTCACCCAGGGCGATGGGGAAGGCTGTGTGTGGAAGAGAAGCTGCCAAGGCTCCTGCACCCCCTACTTGTGGGAGCGCCATCCCTGGAGGCTTTCAAGAAGAGACTGGACTCCCCTCTGTCAGAAATGGTGTAGGGTCTCCTGCTTGGGCATGGGGGGTTGGACTAGATGCCCTACAAGATCCTTTCCAACTCTGTTATTCTATATATTCAATGGAACAACTCTCCTTCAGAAGTTGTGAGAGCGCCATCCCTTGAGACTTTCAAGAAGAGACTGCACTCCCCTCTGTCAGAAATAGTGTAGGGTCTCCTGCTTGGGCATGGGGGGGGGGGGGGGGCTGAGGTGCCATAAAGGTCCCTCCCACCTCTGATTATCTGTTATCGGACGGAAGGGGGGGGGGGAGAAGCTTGCAAGGCCCCTGCCCCCGCCTATTTGGGGGGCGGCGGAGGGAGCTGCTTTTACTTCTTGCAATCGCCTCCCCCCTTTTTATTTTTGCAATGGCGGCCCCTCCCCAGTTCCTGGGGTGGCCCCCACTTTGACTCCCGGGACACCCCCCCCCCCCCCCCCCCCCCCCCCC